CCCCCCCCCCCCCCCCCACACACACACACACACACCGTGCGCCCTACATCGCTGACCGACCATGGATGGCGGCAGCGATCTCCATAAGCGAGTGGCACATCATCCTCTCCGTCTCATCGGACGCCTCGTAGTGCGCTTTCTGGACTGCAACTTCCTGCTCAAGTATGTCGCATTGCCTCGTGAATATGCTGCATTGCCGCTTCCTAGACGATTCGAACGTCGACGACATCAGTTCGCCATGGCGGTCCATGACATCAGCAATCGACTCCAACGCATGTTGACGCGCATTCTTCCGCTTCCTGCCTCCAGCCCTGCTGGCTGCGTTGTTGTCGGAGTCCCTCGTAGAAGAACGTTCTTCAGGGAAGCCTTCACCAGCGGCCTCAGTACCAACAAACTCCCCATCACCCGCTCCTCGCCTGGGCAGCTGCACCCTGTCCGGACTTCCGGTGTCGGGGACGTTGGGAGGGAAAATTGTGTGGTTGCCCAGCATGCCTGCGCGGATGTCGTTGTACAGCGCCCTCTCCATCCGGAACTTGAAGTTGTGCTCCTTCCTTTCTTCATTCGATAGCCCGAAGAAATTTGGCCGGGCACTCGCATTCTGAAACCTCTGTATCTTCTTGTAGTTTTGGAAGAGATTGTCCCACTTCTTCATGCAGTCGTCCGCGTCTTTAGGCCTCCCCGCGTTCGCCATGCGCTTCGCAATGTCGTCCCACTTCCACTCCTTGGTCCGCATCCGCCCGTAATTGTGACCCAGCCCGACGAGGATCATCTCTTGCTCCCGCTTGCATCTCACCAGTTGCATTTGCTCTTTCGGAGACTAATACGTCGCAAACTTCCCGCCGTCGTCGCTGACGCCACCTCTGCCCCCACGACCAACGGATCGACCACGAACAACACCTCTGCTGCGTCCTCTCCCCCTCCCACCCGTCTTCCCCAAAGGCCGAATAGGAATGTCATCGTCGTCGTCCCCTGCTTCCACGTCCTCCCTTAATCGTTCGTCGGTATCGTCACCGCCACCACCATCGTCGTCGCCGCCATCGCTGTGTGCCCGCATGTTTGACACTCCTCGTGTGATGTTCTCCACAGTGGGTTCTGGACGCACCGCTGGTCTGCACGCGCCGTCGTCCCTAAGGTCGGGTTGGGTCGACGTTGTGCGTTTGGGCATCGAAGGACGTGCACTGCCGATGCGCAGGGACCCGGCTGCGACTCCATTGCGTGAGGGGCAGGTACTTGTCAATCGATCGGCGGACGGTGCACTCGATCCATGCTGTCGGCCTACTGCTGATGGCCCGACACCGCTAGTAACGGACGCACCGCCACGAAGTGTAGAGTGCTCCATATGCTGACTTCCGGATTGTTGAACGCCACGTGGCGAAGGATCGGCGTCGATGATCAACGTGCGGCTCGCCTCCCTAGCGCCGCCAGAACACAACCCGAACCTGAGATCAAGTCCTCCGCCGTAGTCGTCTCCCAAACCTTGGTGCAGCAGTGAGGTGAACTCGCCGGCTTCGTTGCTAGCCGACCCGCATGCTCGCACCGTCTGCGACAACAGCTGCGTCGACCCGCTGGCAAGAGGCAACGTTGGAAGTTCTTCCATCTCTGAGTCCTCGTCCGACGGGGGCAGTGGCGTCTCCCACGACTCTAGATGGCTGTACAAAGATGGGTCGTACCGCCGTGGAGGCTCCGCAGTCGGAGGTCGTCTTCCGCCCTGACCTGCACCAACACCTGCGCGTGCCTGCATGCCCTCCATCGGATGTTCCCCTGCCGCCCGTTTCGTTGAAGCCCTCCTCTTGCGATGTTGTTTCCACAGCCGCCACGACAAACACACGTGGAGGAAGACGACGATAAGGAACACGACGACAACGAGTACGAGCAGAGGCAATCTCCTTTGCACGTCAGCCATGAAATTCACCTTGGGAGCCACCCTCGCACGCGACTACTGCAGAAGAGTGTTCCGACATGCCGGGGGATAGGGCCGCTCGACCTTCATATGCCGACAACCAGCACAGAAGACGACAAAGCTGCCTGCCTGTGATTCGAAAATCGACCGTTGCCGCCCGCGCACCGCCCCAAACGCCTCCGTACGGTGTCCCGCGCACGTCGTCGTCCACCTCCGTCACCCGCAACCGAGCCAACGGTCCACTACGGACTCCAGCCCGCCCACTGTCGCCCCCCCCCCGGGTTGCACCCCGTCAGCCAACGGCTACCACTAGTGCCCGTTGCCGGCCTCTACCCGCAGAAAACCTCCGATGTCCGGCCACCCACCCGACGGACCGCTCCTGGACCAGCAACCCCGTGGCGACGATGCCATGCGCGCAACGCAACGAGTCCGTGAAACGCTGGAATCCTAAATTTTTCAGTAGGTCGGGGGCTACTGGAAAATTTAGGATGATTTTGCCTGGGGAATCCTAAATCCTTTAGGACTGGTCCTAACGCCGTTTTCACATTTTCTATCTTGAAATTCGATTTAGGATTGCGTGCAACGAAGACGCAATCCTAAAAACAGGAACTTTTAGGAGTGTCTAACGAGACCCGTAGTCTCAAAAAGGGTCCTCCCGCGGCCCCGCAGGTCGCTGACAAAAGGGTCTCCCTTCGAGGCATTTGGGTAGCAGGCCTCTCCAATGTGACCCCAAAACTGACTCACATTTTGGGATTTAAGGTGATTTGGTCCTCATGTGAGTATGCCCTGCGACCTCCGCCCCGTGAAACCTACGCAAAGCCTCGTGCAACAGCGCATTAAAGGTTATGCTATTGGCTATACATACACCCTCTCCATCTCTCTCTCTCTCTCTCTCTCTCTCTCTCTCTCTCTCTCTCTCTCTCTC